AGAGAGAGAGAGAGAGAGAGAGAGAGAGAGAGAGAGAGAGAGAGAGAGAGAGAGAGAGCACATGAAGCCACCCACGTCGCAAACAGACAACTGCAGGAGAACGTGGTAGAGTAAATAATAATTAAAATATAACAACGTACCTATATATTATGAGAAAGATGAAAGAGAGGGAGAGAGAAGAGGAAGGAGGAGGCGAGATGCAAACAGAGGAAGCTGAAGGAAAGGTGAGTGATAGAGAGAAAGTGCTTGCATTCATGCACTTGTATAACATACGAATAATAAAACAAATACATTACGCAGGCAGCCACATTAGAACAACCAAACTATCTAACGAATGGTTATAGAGCTGCAGGGCTGTTTGCCTGGCTTCTCACCTTACAGCCTTCCAGTGCGTTGTAGCCCCACGTTCCCTTCCTGCATCTCTCACAGCGGTCTCCCTCCGTGTTGAGTGGACACACACACTGACCGGTCTCTGCGTCACAGACGTGGCCTGGCTTGTCACACCGCGGGCAGCCTGCACGCCAACACATCATACTCATTCACTCAGTCATGCTGTCAGAGCAGGAGAAATATCAATGCAAATATTCACACAGCAAGGACGACATCACACATACCAATGCGCACATGTAGTGAGAGAAAAGAGTAAGATATGAAAGAGAGACGGGGGAAAAAAGAGAGGGATGCAAGAGAGGTGTGAAAAAGAAAGGGGAAAGGGAGGCATATAGGGAGAGGGTAGGAAGGAGAAAGAAACACAGCAGAGAGAAGTAGAGGGAGCGTGAGACGGAAAGGGGGAGGGAGAAGGAGGCGGAGCAGAAAAGGGAAAGGGAGAAGGAGGCGGAGAAGAAAAGAGGAAGGGAGAAGGAGGCAGAGAAGAAAAGGGGAAGGGAGAAGGAGGCAGAGAAGAAAAGGGGAAGGGAGAGTGTGAAATGGAGGCAGGAGAGAGATAAATAGAGAAAGAGAGGGAAAAGAAGAGACAAACACAGACAGAGAGATAAAGAGAAAGAAAGACTGGGAAGGAGAAAGTCAACGATGGAGCAAGGAAACCCCCACTTTAACAACTACGGATTTCGTTCCTGGCGGCTCCAACGCTTGGATGACTTACGCTTGCAGCCACTGACGCTGAATCCATAGTATCCATATTCGCACTTGTTGCACTGCGCGCCGCCTATGCCAGGTTTACAGCTACACTGGCCGCTGTACTGGTCACAGTTTGTGCTGTCTGCTCCCGTCTGTCAATGAAGGCAACAAGTAAGCATTATAATTAGATTCACGCAATGACTGCCACTGCCAACTACTTCCCTCGGGGAAGAACTCTCGTATTAAAAAGTCTCGTAGTGCATCTGGGAAAGGCAAACGCTGTTAAATATCTTGTAATTGTGCTCAATTGTCTTGTATTATGTAACAGAAGGTTATGTGGCTTGATTGTAATATCAATGTCCGATGAATCTCTCGGAGATCTGCACAACACACAGAGCCCCAGAGAGCAAGGGACAGGGAGAATAAGAGGGAGGGACAGAGAGAATGAGAGAGAGGGAGGGGCAGAGAGAATGAGAGAGAAAGAGGAACAGAGAGAATGCGAGAGAAGGACAGAGAGAATGAGAGAGAGGAACAAAGAGAGAGAGAGAGCGAGAGTTAAGGCTGAAAGAGGGAGAGGGAGAAGGCGAGAGAGGGAAGGAGGGGGCAGGGAAGGAGGGGGTAGGGAGGGAGTGAAGGGGGAGCGAGGAAGGGAGAGAGGCATTGAGGGAGGAAGATACAGAAGGTACGATGCAGGGAGAGAGAGGTAGGAAGGAAGGGGTGAAGGGAGAGTGTGTGAGAGAGGGATGGACGTGGTGCCACCTTACCAAGTTGCATCCGCAGGGCACGCAGCCAGTGCCGGACGTCACGTTCCAGTGAGCGGCGAAACACTGGTCGCAGCGACGGCCGGTGACGTTGGCGCGACATGTACACTGACCGGTCGCCTGGTCACACATCTGTGAGGTGGAGCCTGACCGATCACAGTCACAGTCTGCAAGAACCACGAAGAATGTTAGGGGAAGAGGTTTGGCATACACGATCACACGTGTAGTTATTATTTACGACTGATGTGTTACCACTACTACTACTACTAATAATAATAACTATAATGTATCTATATATATATTACCAACATGTTAGAATATGAACGTGCTTGTGGTGTTATCTCTACCTATTACTCTTTCTCTAACTGTGGGGATGGCTATATAGTTAACTGTATAGTCGTAGTTAGGAGCTGAAGCTGAATATGATATGATTAGTATTTGCTTCACGTAGTAATATATATACTCCATGTGATATAAGCTGACTGCAATACAAGTAGTATTCACGCACTTAAATATACGAATCATGTATCAATCAGGTATCGACGCCAACAAAAGAAACGTACCCTCAGAGTAACTAATAATGTATAATTAGAATAACGTATAATTAGAATAACATGAAATAACTCATGCCGTATTTGACACAAATGAGTTACAATTATACAGTAATATGTAACAAGCAACGCTAGCGGCGATCATCGTGTATCGACACCAGCAGTAGAAGCGGTGATAGATGGAGGGGCAGCAGCAGCAGGAGGAGGCGGTCACTCACACTGGCATCCTTGATCCGAGAAGCCATAGTATCCCTCGTTGCACGTGTCACAGTGGCGGCCGAACACACCAGACTTACACTGGCATTGGCCGGACTCAAAGTCGCACTGTAGATACGCAGAGCCGACCTCGTTACAGTTACACTCCTCACAACCCTCCCTCAGGTTGCCACGCAGGTCCTAGAACAACGCGAGCGAAAACCAATTATCACCCGTTTAAATTATTAAATTAATTTATTATTTTTTATTAGTTATGAATATTACTCTGCATTTAATTTTATTAGTGCTATTTATTTATTACACTATTTATTTTCACATATGTAATTTATTTCAATATGTATTTATGATTGCTTTTGTATTATTGTCCTATTAAATTGTTTATTCATTAAATTTCTAATCGCTTATTCGAATGGAAATGTTACCAAAAATGCCTGATGGAATTTAACATGTACTGGAACCAGGGCTGTAGCTAGCAGGGGGGCAAGGGGGGCAGTTGCCCCGCCCCAGAAAAAAAATTGATACAATGCATCATTGGTTAATGGTGGTCACCTTTCCAGAACACACCACACATGTGGCTTTGCCCCCCCCCCCACCAAACAAAATGGGTTAGCTACACTGCTGCGTATGCTTGAAGTTGATATCTCAACTCTTCCCAGACGTCGGTATAACGACAAACCAGTTGAAAACAAAGGCATTTCGTACATTTATTTAGGCCACGAAATGCCACCAGCATTTTGATGATGTCTGGCGGAATGCGTGACTGCAGTGAAGTCCTGCAGCCACTTCAAATTCGGCAAAACAGAGTGACAATTACGGCCGTGTGGTACGTTCGTACATTGCTGCGGTGTTAGAGTGAGATGTGAGACTTGTACACTCACCGCACATCTCTCGCACTGCCTGCCGACGATGTTAGGTTTGCACCGGCACTGTCCCGTGAAGCGGTCACATGTGGAGTTGACTGAGCCGAATGCATTGCAGTCACAGCCTGAAACCAATCGCACGAACACGTGTCAACATCGCGTCAATGTCACCGTCAATGTCACGTCAATGTCACGTCAATGTCACGGTTATTCCAGCATCTAATCCATCACAGGGTAATCATAACATCGATTCACAAGCACATGCACTAATTGTCACGTCTATCTGCTTTAGACGCTTTAATTGTTATTATAGCTTACTGTTCATTAACCTTCATTATCAACGTTGAGTTTTCCCGTGCGGCGAGCACTAGTGTTTCTTGCCTGTACACGCTGCACACACACGTACCAAATCAGTAATGAGGTATCGTCATGTAACAACGATAGAGGCTCAGACATCGGTATTACGACGTAAAAAAACAGCATCGGCAACAGCTGCAATACAACTATATCAGCAGTGCCACATCTCGGAACCTATAAACCCACCAGTTTACACGAACTGAACGTGAACATAGTTGACGTGCTCTACACTACATGAATCGCGTTGCAGCTGGGGCTTACTAGAGCAGTCGTGGTTGATGGCGGTGCCGTAGTATCCTGCCTGGCACTGGTCGCACGACCAGCCGTGAGAGTTGGCGATGCACTTGAGGCACTGTCCGGTGTATCGGTCACAGTTACCGATGGCCTGCGGGTCGACGTTACCGTTACACAGACACGGCTGACAGTAGTTGCCAGGGAGCAAAGGGTCGCCAAAGTAACCGTCCGAGCACCTGGATAAGTGAATGAATGCATGCATGATTAAATATGTTCTTGTTTATAAAGACTGAAATAGTTGTGACCCCCATCTCTCTCTCTATCTGTGTATCCATCCATCCATTCATACATCCATCCATCCATCCATACATCCATCCGTCCATCTATGTATCTCTCTCTCTCTCTCTCTCTCTCTCTCTCTCTCTCTCTCTCTCTCTACGTCTACTCGTCTCTCTCAGTCTCTCTCGATCTCGCTGCTACGTCTCGCCTGCTCGCTCGTCGACTC